CCCCAAAACCCCAAAACCCCAAAACCCCAAAACCCCAAAACCCCAATTTTCCATGATGCTGAAATAATATTGTTTTTGAGTATAAATGAGGAAAGGAATTAGTGGGTCCGGACCCTGAAATTTGGAAGCCAAAGTTAACGGTATGTTATCTTATAATTAAAGGGTGCTTACTAGGAATGATAGCAACTTTTAATGGATTAATTCCTCTTTAGATATACCAAGTAGTTTCATTCAGATAAGAGAGTATTTGGACAGTCCAAGCAAATTTATGAAAATTAGAGATACTTTCTTGAAGAAATATAAACATAAGCGTAAATTTAAAGGCAAGAAGATAATTGGAAGTATTGTAAGGTAGAGTGCAAATTTGAGCCATACTTATCTATCAAACCTAATACTCTTTCATAGATATAAATAAGCCGAAGTTTATGAAGCCTAAACTAACTTCTAAGAAGAACATGCCTAAAATAATCAATAATTTAAAATAAATCTTTGTCAATCAAAGGCCAGAAAAGCATCATTACTCCGAAGAATAAGTCATTTGTATGGAGTAGAAATGGCAATATAATGAGCTTGACAAAGCACGACCCAAGTATCAGATATAGCTCTCAAGTTCCATCTCAAGAGCCATTCTCAAGCCCAACTTCTCCAGTTCGTGACCCTGCTCAATTCCTATATGAGCCCACTAAGACTTTTGAAGAGAGCTGAAAATAAGATTCCTATTGGTGAAAATCCCAAAAGGATGGTTATAAAATAACGAAATATCCTCTTTATCACAAGAAAGTGAAGTAGACATTTTGTCTACAGGTCAATTTTGTGAGAAACTTCACGAGTAAATTCATTATTTATCATTTGCTAGGAACAATACTACCTTCAAGCTGGCCACGAGTAACTTTAAAGAGCCTTACTTTTGCAGGCCACAGACGACTTCAAAATTGAAGAAACTTTATTCACGGAAGTCAAACAGGTCGGACTTGGTGACCAGCTCTTCTAAGTTCTTCATCGGGCCTGGATCTGTGGAGCATTGTCAGGTTAAGAAGATGCTCTTTCCAGCTACTAATGTAATTAACAGAGCTACCGCTAGGAAATGCTCGATGAGGCAGACTAGATTTGGCCCAACAGGGGCGGCCAGAGTTCGTTCGATATGCCCATCTTCCCGACCAAAAAAATATCTGCATAACACAAATGTAATTATTTATTCAAATTATAGGTGAAACTAATATTTGAGAAAAAGCAGAGGCAAAAGAAATTTGGCACTCTTGAAAGAAAAGTTAACAAAATCTTAGTTAAGAAATCTAACTCAAAATCTCCAAAGAGATCTGTATCGGTAGATTACCCTGAGAATGAGCCAAAAGCTAGTGAGAGGGTTGAAGAAATCGACTCGGATACAATAAATAGCCCTACTGTAAGTTGTTAGGTGTACATTAAAATTTCCATAAGGGATAAATAGTTTTCTTTCACTCCTTGAATGCTATACACATGCACTCGATAACCTCATACAGGAAATTAATGTCTTAGAGTTCATTCTAGAAATATTCAAAAAAAATTAAACTTTTACAAAAAGGATTATTTTACTCTGCGAATTTGCATTAACAGAAACCTCACTAACCAAATTAATAGGAACTGACACGAATTCAGATTTCAGCAGTCACAAAGCAAAAATCCAGAACGCGCTGTCGTATAAAAATGAGCACATCAAAGATTTTCAGCGAGGTGAGCTACTCCAGCAAGAACGACTACCTAAAAGATTCGCACTCCTTCAAACGTAACTCAGACATCGAAATCCAGCAGATCCAGACGACTGCTGAAATGCCTATGCCTGCTAGCCCTCCTTTGTCTCAGAATGCAATAGTTATGCTGAATGCTGATCTCCAAGACACGAAAAGACTTTGTAAGCTTACCTCTAATTCATGCCTAGATGCTCACAAAAAATTTGTTCAGCAGGCAAGCCTCAAGCCTTTATTAAAATCCCTGCACAAAAATTCACATATTCCAGCTAAGTCTCAGAACAAATCTTAAACAATTCAACTCAAAATTTGGTAAATGGGGTTTTGGGGTTTTGGGGTTTTGGGG